TGGTACTGGTGGTGGTGATGGTAGTAGTGGGTAATGATGGTACTGGTGGTGGTGATGGTAGTAGTGGGTAATGATGGTACTGGTGGTGGTGATGGTAGTAGTGGGTAATGATGGTACTGCTTGTGGTGATGGTAGTATTGGGTAATGATGGTACTGGTGGTGGTGATGGTAGTCGTGGGTAATGATGGTACTGCTAGTGGTGATGGTAGTAGTGGGTAATGATGGTACTGGTGGTGGTGATGGTAGTCGTGGGTAATGATGGTACTGGTGGTGTTGATGGTAGTCGTGGGTAATGATGGTACTGGTGGTGGTGATGGTAGTAGTGGGTAATGATGGTACTGGTGGTGGTGATGGTAGTCGTGGGTAATGATGGTACTGGTGGTGGTGATGGTAGTAGTGGGTAATGGTGGTACTGGTGGTGGTGATGGTAGTAGTGGGTAATGATGGTACTGGTGGTGGTGATAGTAGTAGTGGGTAATGATGGTACTGGTGGTGGTGATGGTAGTAGTGGGTAATGATGGTACTGGTGGTGGTGATGGTAGTAGTAGGTAATGATGGTACTGGTGGTGGTGATGGTAGTAGTGGGTAATGATGGTACTGGTGGTGGTGATGGTAGTCGTGGGTAATGATGGTACTGGTGGTGGTGATGGTAGTAGTGGGTAATGATGGTACTGGTGGTGGTGATGGTAGTAGTGGGTAATGATGGTACTGGTGGTGGTGATAGTAGTAGTGGGTAATGATGGTACTGGTGGTGGTGATGGTAGTAGTGGTAATGATGGTACTGGTGGTGGTGATGGTAGTAGTGGGTAATGATGGTACTGGTGGTGGTGATGGTAGTAGTGGGTAATGATGGTACTGGTGGTGGTGATGGTAGTCGTGGGTAATGATGGTACTGGTGGTGGTGATGGTAGTAGTGGGTAATGATGGTACTGGTGGTGGTGATGGTAGTAGTGGGTAATGATGGTACTGGTGGTGGTGATGGTAGTAGTGGGTAATGATGGTACTGGTGGTGGTGATGGTAGTAGTGGGTTAATGATGGTACTGGTGGTGGTGATGGTAGTCGTGGGTAATGATGGTACTGCTAGTGGTGATGGTAGTATTGGGTAATGATGGTACTGGTGGTGGTGATGGTAGTAGTGGGTAATGATGGTACTGGTGGTGGTGATGGTAGTAGTGGGTAATGATGGTACTGGTGGTGGTGATGGTAGTAGTGGGTAATGATGGTACTGGTGGTGGTGATGGTAGTAGTGGGTAATGATGGTACTGGTGGTGGTGATGGTAGTAGTGGGTAATGGTGAGGGTGGTGATGAGTAGTGGTACTGTGGTACTGGTGGTGGTTGATGGTAGTAGTGGGTAATGATGGTACTGGTGGTGGTGATGGTAGTAGTGGGTAATGATGGTACTGGTGGTGGTGTTGATGGTAGTAGTGGGTAATGATGGTACTGGTGGTGGTGATGGTAGTAGTGGGTAATGATGGTACTGGTGGTGTGTGATGGTAGTAGTGGGTAATGATGGTACTGGTGGTGTGGTGATGGTAGTAGTGGGTAATGATGGTACTGGTGGTGTGATGGTAGTAGTGGGTAATGATGGTACTGGTGGTGGTGATGGTAGTAGTGGGTAATGATGGTACTGGTGGTGGTGATGGTAGTAGTGGGTAATGATGGTACTGGTGGTGGTGATGGTAGTAGTGGGTAATGATGGTACTGGTGGTGGTGATGGTAGTAGTGGGTAATGATGGTACTGGTGGTGTTGATGGTAGTAGTGGGTAATGATGGTACTGGTGGTGGTGGTGATGGTAGTAGTGGGTAATGATGGTACTGGTGGTGGTGATGGTAGTAGTGGGTAATGATGGTACTGGTGGTGGTGATGGTAGTAGTGGGTAATGATGGTACTGGTGGTGTTGATGGTAGTAGTGGGTAATGATGGTACTGGTGGTGGTGTTGATGGTAGTAGTGGGTAATGATGGTACTGGTGGTGGTGATGGTAGTAGTGGGTAATGATGGTACTGGTGGTGGTGTTGATGGTAGTAGTGGGTAATGATGGTACTGGTGGTGGTGGTGATGGTAGTAGTGGGTAATGATGGTACTGGTGGTGTTGATGGTAGTAGTGGGTAATGATGGTACTGGTGGTGGTGATGGTAGTAGTGGGTAATGATGGTACTGGTGGTGGTGATGGTAGTAGTGGGTAATGATGGTACTGGTGGTGGTGATGGTAGTAGTGGGTAATGATGGTACTGGTGGTGGTGATGGTAGTCGTGGGTAATGATGGTACTGGTGGTGTTGATGGTAGTAGTGGGTAATGATGGTACTGGTGGTGGTGGTGATGGTAGTAGTGGGTAATGATGGTACTGCTTGTGGTGATGGTAGTAGTGGGTAATGATGGTACTGGTGGTGTGATGGTAGTAGTGGGTAATGATGGTACTGGTGGTGGTGTTGATGGTAGTAGTGGGTAATGATGGTACTGGTGGTGGTGGTGATGGTAGTAGTGGGTAATGATGGTACTGGTGGTGGTGATGGTAGTAGTGGGTAATGATGGTACTGGTGGTGGTGATGGTAGTAGTGGGTAATGATGGTACTGGTGGTGGTGATGGTAGTAGTGGGTAATGATGGTACTGGTGGTGGTGATGGTAGTAGTGGGTAATGATGGTACTGGTGGTGTTGATGGTAGTAGTGGGTAATGATGGTACTGGTGGTGGTGTTGATGGTAGTAGTGGGTAATGATGGTACTGGTGGTGGTGATGGTAGTAGTGGGTAATGATGGTACTGGTGGTGGTGTTGATGGTAGTAGTGGGTAATGATGGTACTGGTGGTGGTGGTGATGGTAGTAGTGGGTAATGATGGTACTGGTGGTGTTGATGGTAGTAGTGGGTAATGATGGTACTGGTGGTGGTGATGGTAGTAGTGGGTAATGATGGTACTGGTGGTGGTGATGGTAGTAGTGGGTAATGATGGTACTGGTGGTGGTGATGGTAGTAGTGGGTAATGATGGTACTGGTGGTGGTGATGGTAGTCGTGGGTAATGATGGTACTGGTGGTGTTGATGGTAGTAGTGGGTAATGATGGTACTGGTGGTGGTGGTGATGGTAGTAGTGGGTAATGATGGTACTGGTGGTGGTGATGGTAGTAGTGGGTAATGATGGTACTGGTGGTGGTGATGGTAGTCGTGGGTAATGATGGTACTGGTGGTGTTGATGGTAGTAGTGGGTAATGATGGTACTGGTGGTGGTGGTGATGGTAGTAGTGGGTAATGATGGTACTGGTGGTGGTGATGGTAGTAGTGGGTAATGATGGTACTGGTGGTGGTGATGGTAGTAGTGGGTAATGATGGTACTGGTGGTGGTGATGGTAGTCGTGGGTAATGATGGTACTGGTGGTGGTGATGGTAGTCGTGGGTAATGATGGTACTGGTGGTGGTGATGGTAGTCGTGGGTAATGATGGTACTGGTGGTGGTGATGGTAGTCGTGGGTAATGATGGTACTGGTGGTGGTGATGGTAGTAGTGGGTAATGATGGTACTGGTGGTGGTGATGGTAGTCGTGGGTAATGATGGTACTGGTGGTGGTGATGGTAGTCGTGGGTAATGATGGTACTGGTGGTGTTGATGGTAGTAGTGGGTAATGATGGTACTGGTGGTGTTGATGGTAGTAGTGGGTAATGATGGTACTGGTGGTGGGCTTCCACCAATAAAGGGCTGCCAGGTCTAAAATGGAAACATGACAGCCAGTTGTCACTTGAACTGGTTGGTAACGTCCTTCCAGGAATTGCCGAGTTAGTACCCATCTTCTCGGTTTAAATTGTGTCGATGTCTGTATACATGTGTAGTGTTGTAAAGGACGGACTAATACACTTCTTTATGGCACACACTGTTTATTGTCTTTAATACACAGTCCCTATCACACAGAGGGGTATACGGTCCCCTTACCAGTTACCCTGATGAGGTACAGGACCTTGCTGTCTATCTAATCTCCCTGCTATCCCAGCGTGCTCTGGCGGGACCTAGGGGAGGCACACTGACCCACCGCTGGCCCGGCGGGTCCCCGACCTCTGGTCGCTCAGGACCTTCGCCCTCACAAGGGCGGGAAGGCTGGGAGCCAGGGTCCTCCCCATCCAGGACCTAATCTCCCCCGACCACTGGTGAATTCACCACGCCCTGGCCGTTGACCCTCTGGCCATTGACCGAGCAACCCACCAAAGTTCCTACCAGCAGCTCCCTCCGCAGGAGGAGGAGGAATGTGTTACAGCTGCAGCGGTCACACCTGATGACGGATGCTTGTGTTGCTTCCGAAACGTCGCGATTTATTTTAGTTTTATTTTATTTAGTTTTCACCTCCGTGACTTTACCGAAAGACCCCAGGAATAATCGCCATTCTCTGTACTTTAGACGCATAAGCAATTTTAAAGTAACACTTGCTACCCAGGAGCGAAACAATGTTGTGAGTGCGATAACACTGGTCAACAACAAGAAAAAATTCTGGCCCCGACTTTTGCAGCTGTTCTAGACTAATTTCAGGGTGCTGATTCCAAATCTGATCTCAGATTTGCTCTATCACATCTCATTTCTATGCTATCGGCATACCCCATTTTCATTGATTTTACCCGAAATTAACTCTGTCACTTATGAATGCAAGTTGTTGCGAGTCAGTGACTGCTTTAGTGTTAAAATACGGTGCTGTATTTCTAGGATAGTGTGTTTATAATATCATTTTATGTAGATATCCATTTTATGTAGATATCCATTTTATGTAGATATCCACATTTATTTGATATTTTTCTTCTGCAGTTTAATTAAAAATGCAATATTTGATATCTCAAAAACCTGATGTGATAGACAAAAACTGATGCCAGATTTGAAATCGGCACCCCACAATTACCTTAAACCCGTTGGAAAACCTCATGCCAGACAAAGTGTGTTGACCAGTGGGATAATTAATGGCTTGTGGCCAATGTCGTCACCGCGCCGCGAGGTGGCAGCAACGCGCCCCGCTCCGACCCCCACAGCGACTCGCCCCGCTCCCACTGCCGCACGCGGCAACCTGTTCGCGTGACTCCGTTACAGTCGGCGCTGTTTCAGTTGACGCAGGAGAATGGCGAAAGTGCCGTGACTCGGGCTTGTTGTTGTTTGTTGTTGTTGTTTTGTTGTTGTTGTTGGGCGACTAAGATGGCCGCCTGCTAACGCGGCTGCTGCTGCTGCTGCCTGTGGTGGCGCCTTCGCTGTATGAGGAGACGTGAGGAGAGATCTCCCCTTGGGGCAGACGAGGGGGCAGCAGCAGCAACAACCACGACGAAGACGACGAAGAGACCGCGAGTGTGGATGGCGTCAGCGTGCAAGGCGGCGGCCTCCTCCTCCTCCTGCTCCTCCTGCTGCTGCAGCTGCAGCAGCAGGAGGAGGAGGGCGGCCCTGGCGGTACTCATGGCCGTGAGTGGTAGGGGCTGGTGGTGGTGTGGTGGTGTGTGTGGTGGTGTGTGTGGTGGTGGTGTGATGGTGGAGTGGTGGTGGTGGTGTGGTGGTGTGTGTGGTGGTGTGTGTGGTGGTGGTGTGATGGTGGAGTGGTGGTGGTGGTGTGTGTGGTGGTGTGTGTGGTGGTGTGTGTGGTGGTGGTGTGATGGTGGAGTGGTGGTGGTGGTGTGTGTGGTGGTGTGTGTGGTGGTGGTGTGATGGTGGAGTGGTGGTGGTGGTGGTGTGTGTGGTGTGTGTGGTGGTGTGATGGTGGAGTGGTGGTGGTGGTGTGTGTGGTGGTGTGTGTGGTGGTGGTGTGATGGTGGAGTGGTGGTGGTGGTGTGGTGGTGTGTGTGGTGGTGTGTGTGGTGGTGGTGTGATGGTGGAGTGGTGGTGGTGTGGTGGTGGTGGTGTGGTGGTGCTGTGGTGGTGGTGCTGTGGTGTGGTGGTTGTGGTGTTTATGGTGGTGGTTGTGGTGTTTATGGTGGTGTTTATGGTGGTGGTTGTGGTTGTTGTGTTTATGGTGGTGGTTGTGGTGGTTACAGTGTTTATGGTGGTAGTTATGGTGGGCTTGGTGGTGGTTGTTGTGCTCTGGTTTTGTTGGTATTTTGGTTGTCGACGGACCTGTTGTGGGTTGTGCTTGGTGGTGTAGTCTTGGTTGCTGTTGTGGTGATTGCTGTTGTGGTGGTTGTTGTTGTGGTTGTTGTTGTGGTGGTTGTTGTTGTGGTGGTTGTTGTTGTGGTGGTTGCTGTTGTGGTGGTTGTTGTTGTGGTTGTTGTTGTGGTGGTTGTTGTTGTGGTGGTTGCTGTTGTGGTGGTTGCTGTTGTGGTAGTTGTTGTTGTGGTTGTTGTTGTGGTGGTTGTTGTTGTGGTGGTTGCTGTTGTGGTGGTTGTTGTTGTGGTGGTTGCTGTTGTGGTGGTTGCTGTTGTGGTGGTTGTTGTTGTGGTTGTAGCTGTTGTGGTGGTTGCTGTTGTGGTGGTTGTTGTTGTGGTGGTTGTTGTTGTGGTGGTTGCTGTTGTGGTGGTTGTTGTTGTGGTAGTTGTTGTTGTGGTAGTTGTTGTTGTGGTTGTTGTTGTGGTGGTTGCTGTTGTGGTGGTTGCTGTTGTGGTAGTTGTTGTTGTGGTAGTTGTTGTTGTGGTTGTAGCTGTTGTGGTGGTTGCTGTTGTGGTGGTTGTTGTTGTGGTGGTTGTTGTTAGTTGTTGATGGTTGTAGTTGTGGTGGTTGCTGTTGTGGTGGTTGCTGTTGTTGTGGTGGTTGTTGTGGTGGTTGTAGTTGTGGTGGTTGCTGTTGTGGTAGTTGCTGTTGTGGTGGTTGTTGTTGTGGTGGTTGCTGTTGTGGTGGTTGCTGTTGTGGTGGTTGTTGATGTGGTGGTTGCTGTTGTGGTGGTGGTTGTTGTTGTGGTGGTTGTTGTTGTGGTGGTTGCTGTTGTGGTGGTGGTTGTTGTTGTGGTGGTTGTTGTTGTGGTGGTTGTTGTGGTGGTTGTTGTTGTGGTGGTGGTTGTTGTTGTGGTAGTTGCTGTTGTAGTTGCTGTTGTGGTGGTTGTTGTTGTGGTAGTTGTTGTTGTGGTAGTTGTTGTTGTGGTGGTTGTTGTGGTGGTGGTTGTTGTTGTGGTGGTTGCTGTTGTGGTTGCTGTTGTCGTCGTGATAGCTGGTCTGCTATTGACGAGGTTGTGTGTGTGGGGGGTGCACACGTGGAGCGGTGGCGCAGTGGTTAGCGCAGTGGCCTCTGTCCACAGCCACCCAAGTTCGATTCCCCCTCACAGCCAACATCGGTGGTGCAGACCGAACCGGCCCTGTACAGCGGTGTACAGTATACACATCGCCACCGGGGAGACAAAGGCGGCCGGGCGTAACCCTGGCAACACACAACCCCCTCGTGTGCCGCGCCGGCCTTCATAGGGGCCGCTCGTCAACAGCACTTGCCCCAACCACCCGTTGAAGCTACACGGGGGACCTTTGTCTTTGCAGCTGCTGGTGGCCAGCCTGGTCCTGCACCCCGTGGCTCGGCGTGGCTCGGCCTGGCTCGTTGCCGCGGCAACGGGGAGGCCGCTGCCGTGGCAGCACTCGGTCGTCATGATCACGTGCCCCACGGAGGCCGTGGCGCGTGACATGGCACGGTGAGCTGGCACAGAGACACCCACAGACTTACACAGACACCCATAGGCTCACACAGACACCCATAGACTCACACAGACACCCACAGACTCACACAGAGACCCATAGACTTACACAGAGACACCCATATACTCACACATACACCCATAGGCTCACACAGACACCCATAGACTCACACAGACACCCACAGACTCACACAGACACCCATAGACTCTCACAGACACCCACAGACTCACACAGACACCCACAGACTCACACAGACACCATAAACTTAGAGACACCCATCATTGACGTACAAAGACACCCATAGACTCACACAGACACCCACAGACTCACACAGACACTCACAGACTCACGCAGACACCCATAGACTTACACAGAGACCCATAGCCTCACACAGAGACCCATAGACTCACACAGACACCCACAGACTCACACAGACACTCACAGACTCACGCAGACACCCATAGACTTACACAGAGACCCATAGCCTCACACAGAGACCCATAGACTCACACAGACACCCATAGACTTACAGAGACACCCATAGACTCACACAGACACCCATAGACTCACACAGACACCCATAGACTTACACAGAGACACCCATAGACTCACACAGACACCCATAGACTCACACAGACACCCATAGACTCACACAGAGACCCATAGACTCACACAGAGACCCATAGACGTACAGAGACACCCATAGACTCACACAGACACCCATAGACTCACACAGAGACCCATAGACTCACACAGACACCCACAGACTCACACAGACACCCACAGCCTCACACAGACACCCATAGACGTACAGAGACACCCATAGACTCACACAGACACCCATAGACTCACACAGACACCCATAGACTCACACAGACACCCATAGACTCACACAGACACCCATAGACTCACACAGACACCCATAGACTCACACAGACACCCATAGACTCACACAGACACCCATAGACTCACACAGACACCCATAGACTCACACAGACACCCATAGACTCACACAGACACCCATAGACTCACACAGACACCCATAGACTCACACAGACACCCATAGACTCACACAGACCCACAGACTCACACAGACACCCACAGACTCACACAGACACCCACAGACTCACACAGACACCCACAGACTCACACAGACACCCATAGACTCACACAGACACCCATAGACTCACACAGACACCCATAGACTCACACAGACACCCATAGACTCAGACAGACACCCATAGACTCACACAGACACCCATAGACTTACAGGGACACCCGTTCGATTCACGCTCACGACCCAAACCAGTGACGATTATCTGCACCGGTTCTGGGTCTCCCCTAGGTTGACTGAGCCTCAAATGAGTACCCGGGGCAGTGTGTGAACATCGCCACCGGGGAGACAAATGCGGTCGGGTGTGGTGCCGGCCACTCATCCCCTCGTGTGCCGTTCTGGCCTTCGTAGGTGCTACTCGCTAACAGCACTTGCCCCAACAGTCTGATAAAGGCTACTCGGGGATCTTTGTCTTTTGCACGTGTGTGCGTGTGTGTGTGCGTGCGTGCGTGCGTGCGTGCGTGTGCGTGCGTGTGCGTGCGTGTGTGCGTGCGTGTGCGTGTGTGTGTGTGCGTGCGTGTGTGTGTGCGTGTGCGCGAGCAGTTCATTGGTGGAGAGGCGCTTGGCTGCTTGTGTCAGCATCATCCCTAAGATCACTTCCTTGTGAGTATGTGGGGAGTGTTCATCATGCAACACAACCACCACACCACTTACACAACCACCACACCACACGTACACACATCCACCACACGTACACATGTACACACATACACACAACCACCACGTACACACATCCACCACGTACACACAACCACCACGTACACACAACCACCACGCACACACACACAACCACACGCACACACACAACAACCACATCCACACAGCCACCACACGCACACACACAACCACCACACCACGCACACACAACCACCACACACCACGTACACACAACCACCACACCACACGCACACACACAACCACCACACCACACGCACACACACAACCACCACACCACACGTACACACAACCACCACACCACACGTACACACACAACCACCACGTACACACAACCACCACACCACTTACACACAGCCACCAGACCACATACTGACACGCACACACGTGCGTGCGTGTAATTGTCCCCATTTGTCGTCACAGCTTCCGCTGGGAGGGCCACGTGGAGGAGCAGGGAGAGTTTCTTCTGGTACGGAGGACGGGGGGTGTGGAGGGCGGGATGGGGCAGGGCAGGGGACCACGATGCGGAGTGGGGGAGGGGGTGGGCGCAGGTGGTGGAACAGGAGAGCAGAGGGGGCTTCCTAACATTGGAAGGAAGAGCATTCCAGACGGCCGCAGAAGCGCATCTAGAAGCGCGCGATGCGGTGGCCGCTTTTGTTCAATGCCGCTGCTGCGAAGATGACCGGAGTTCAGGCGATGATGGTTTATGCTCCTTCAGCCTCATCCCAATTTCAGCTGAACCGAACTTGGATTCCAGACCGGGAGCCTGAAGGCCAAACTTGACCTCAACCATTGAGACTGAGGTCAGTGTCCAGGCTGACTGCCTCTCAATCTGGCTCCACACTTGAGCGACCAGTTGTCGTGTAGCCAAAATCGCTCCACTCAAAAACGGCGCAACTCCAGTTTGCTCGCAACTGCTTTGTCCACTTCTGGGGCGGGGGGGAGTAGTTGCACAACAAGAAAGTGTCTGGCTGTGGCTAGAAAGTGCGTCTGGTCACACCACCCAGAGCAGAGCTCCCCCGCTGGCCTGGTTGGCTTCACTCCCTCCCCACTCGCCCCCCGCGTGCAGATTGTGACGGGCAGTGGTAGCTGTGCGCAATGCCGCCGTGTGCGGACGAAACCGGTCGCTACAAATCGCCGAGCCTATCGACGCTTCGGGGTCGAGTCCGTCTCTCTCGCGAGCGGCAAATGGTTGCGGACAAGTCCACGTGTAAGTGGCCTAGTTGTGTGCAACAGGGTTGCGCAACCGAGTTGCAAGTTGCGCAACCGATTGCTGCGGTGTGAACCTGCCAGGCCCACGCCGCCAAGGCCAGAGACGACGATTTGTAGCTGCCTCAAGGCCATGGACCGTTTGGGCTGAGGTCCCACAAGTGAGTGGGAGCATCCTGAGCGGGAGTTGTGAGGCTCAGTGAGGTTTTGCTGGGCGTGTGTCCTCTCTGTGCCGAGCAGGTGGTGAAGACCAGGAGCAGCCTGGTGCCTTCACTTGAAGAGCATGTGCGGTGAGTACAGAGACAACGCTCCCCTGTGCAGCCTTGAACGGACTGTTGGTGCAAGTGCTGTTAGTGAGCAGCGCTTAAGACGGTCGGCACGGCGCACGATGGGGCGGGTGGCCAGCACCACCGCGCCCTGTTGAGTCGACCTCGGGACTCGAACTCGTTTTGCCACGTTCCTAGCGGAGTGCGTTAACTGCTACATTACCGTTCCCCACGTACACGAGCACACATTACACACTCGTGCATGTGTGTGCATGTATCCGCAGACATACACAATACACACAGGCACACACGTGTAGTGAGTCACTCGGAGACACTAAGAGTAGGAGGCACTATGTTCTAGCCCTCACAGGTGCAACGAGTAACTCCACTGTGGTCAGGACAGCTCACAGGCTGCGTCAAGACGGTGACGGAGACTCCAGCAGCACCACGGTTACACTCCAAACAACAGCCCCGAACCCCCGCTCGGGGCCCCCCTTTTATCCACCCAGCACGGCCTCGCTCCGCCCCCCTTCTAGAATGTACCAGAAGGTTCCCACATCCCTTTCTCCGGCTTACCACGTGACCTACTGGCAGACAGGGCTGCTACAACAGCAGATACCCATCTCTGCCAGCAACCAGAGCTACACGCCATAGTGACCCATTCCATGTGACTACACATGCATACACATCAATGAATGCACGTTTATGTGCATCATACACATCAATGAATGCACGTGCACATGCAAATACACACGGACACGCGTGCGCATGTTAGTGTGCATGTGTCGGTCGTCTCATTCAGTCAACCCATAGCACCCGGGTCTGTCCTGTGACCTGCCAACAGAGAGCCTTCGACACTTCACGTGGCCTCCAAGTGCACTTAGCCTGGCACTTGGTGTCGTCTTGACGTCACCTCCACTTAGTTGTGACCGGAGGTCGTTGTTGTTGAGACGGTGCTGGCCACATCGCTCCTGTGAACACCTTGACGGCTTTATAACAGGTGCCAGCGATAACAGCACTTGCCCCGTCAGTCTGCGTTGGTTACACAGGGATCTTTGTTTTTGTCTCTGTGCAGGGCCTCCCACCCATATGAAGTCCCGGAGGTCATAGGTCTCGAGATCGAGCAGGGCAGCGTTGCCTACCTGCAGTGGATTGACCAGAGCCTTGCAGCGCCGTGACCAGGGACGGTCACTCACTCGCTCGCTCCTTCACTCGCTCGCTCACTCGTTCACCCACTGACTCACTCGCACATTGAGTTGATCACTCGTTCATTCACTCAATCACGTACTCGCTCACTCCTTCACTCGCTCGTTCACCCACTGGCTCACTCATACATTGAGTCGATCACTCATTTGTTCATTCACTCAATCACTCACTCGTTTGGTCCCTCACTCGCTCACTCACTCGTTCACCCACTGGCTCACTCACACATTGAGTCGATCACTCATTTGTTCATTCACTCAATCACTCACTCGTTTGGTCCTTCACTCGCTCACTCACTCGTTCACCCACTGGCTAACTTACACATTGAGTCGATCACTCATTTGTTCATTCACTCAATCACTCACTCGTTTAGTCCGTCACTCGTTCACTCGCTCAACCTCTTAGCCACTCTCACTCGATCGTTCACTCGGGACGCTTGCACGCTCTTTGTGTGCTCACTAACGTTATCAATCGATCGCTCGGCTGCTCACTATCTGTGATGCTGTATGCGGTGTAATGACGGATCGAGTTGCATTTCATTAGATTCCTATGAACACCGCACACATTGAATAGCACGACAATTATTGATTTATGTTTATGACATGCGAATGATGGGCGCGTTTAACATTATAGGCTAGAGGAGTTAAAAATTATATAAACGAGGTGGAATAAAAACGATCATTTGCAACCGAGGTAGGAAACGTAGATAATTAATTTTATACAAAATATATTCCGGACCTCGATTTGTGACAGTCATTGAATGTCCTTGAGAGGGTGAATTCTTACATAAATAGCACCCTCGCTCCCACGCTCGCTCAGCCACACGCTCTGCCACACGCTCGGCCACACGCTCTGCCACACGCTCGCTCTGCCAAACGCTCGCTCTGCCACACGCTCAGCCACACGCTCTGCCAGACGCTCAGCCACACGCTCAGCCACACGCTCTGCCACACGCTCAGCCACACGCTCTGCCACACGCTCAGCCACACGCTCTGCCACACGCTCAGCCACACGCTCAGCCACACGCTCTGCCACACGCTCAGCCACACGCTCTACCACACGCTCTGCCACACGCTCTGCCACACGCTCGCTCGGCCACATGCTCGATCACTCGCCTGCTCAGACTCGTGCTCGCCCGCGCACAAGGTCAGCGACTCGCTCACAAACTCACTCGGTTACAAAATCGCTCAGCCTCAAACCCGCACTTTCACTCGATAAACTCGCTCGCCTACAGTCTGACTCGCTCACTCGCATGCTCACTCGTGCACTTGTTCGCCAACTCATAAAGTCACTCGCCTACTCACAATCACGCACTCGCATCGCTCGCCCACACACGAACTCGAACGCACACTCGTGCACGCACACAACAATGGCTCTGCCTTCACACAAACTCTCAGAGAGAATCACTCGGGTGCCTGGGTGCAGCTGCTCCCACTTGGAGTTTCCGGGATACTGTGACCATGCCGAAGTCGCCTCCATGAACGAGGTGGGGGTGTGGGGGGCGCGTATCCTGTCACCGCATCACCGCTCCAGTTCGGCTGGTCCTCTCCTCACTTTGTGCCTCTGCGTTTCGATGCGGTTTGTTAACCAGATCTGGACCATGACTCAGTGTTACGGTGCTTTGGTGGCGAGATGTTGACTACCTCGCCGGGTATACAAGTCGGTTCGTTCTTGACCCTGATGCCTGCTGTTTATTTGGAGTTTTCGTGTCTCCCTGTGGTTGCGTGGAGTTCTCTCTGGGTCCTCCGGTTTTTCCCTCCACATTTAGCAACATTCGATTCGAGTATTTGGCTGCTCGACATTTCCACGTGATGAGCGACTTGATGGAGCTATCATTGGTGATCGCCAGTTCGCTTCTGAACATGAGCTGCATAGCTCAGTGTGGGGGTCTGACCTGGTCAAATAACAAATAGGATGGTTAGCAGCGAGCTCCTCGGCGTTCTCGGCCCAATAATTCACTTGCACAACCGCTTGGGTCCTGAGCCACGATTGGATAGCCTTGGCACGGCTTGGTAGAATGCCAGTGGGAAACCATCTGTACCACGCCGGGCCCGTATTGGCATGGTTCGGATGTGCAAGTGGAAGAGGGGTGGTGTGAGAGTCTTACCAGGCCTGCATTACCATCACCATCGTCAGCCATGCTCTATCTGCAGCTGGAGGAAGGGCTCCCCAATCTGTTGTCCTCTCTAAACCGTTATTCCAGCACCGGAGCTAATCAGGTTAGTCTGGGTCGGCGTACAAGTACATATCCGTGCCCCACACACCACATCCAGTATACATCTCGCGATGGGCTGTTGCCACTCCTCGTGACGTGCCACCTACAACAGTCTCCCAGAGACTCGAAAAATTATTCGGTGAGAAATGGATCCCCAGCGCTGAACTAGTGCCTCTGCACTGCGGGTTCATGACTCGCTGGGCGTGAGAGTGGTTTTACATTTTGATGATGACAAATCCGTGATGCTGTTGTAAATGTTTGTAAATGTAGATATGATGGTACGCGTAAGCCCGTTACAAAATCATCCGTAATGCGCCCGATATCGTATCTGCGGAGCTAAGCAAACTTGAGCCTGGATTGTGCTTGGATGGGCGACCGTCGGGCATGGCAAGTTTCCATCGGCATTTGTAGCGATAGGCTGCAGAGGGTATTGCAACAATGACGTCGATTGCTGTACTGCACTTCTATGCACCCTACCCCTTTGCAAATTCCGCACCGACCAGCGTTGGGATTCCACCTGGTGTCGTCAAAACCGAGGTTTGTAGTTGCAGTTGGGTGGCCCTACACGAGCGGCGT